TAGGAAAGAGGGTATCTTGAAAAATCTCCTTTTCCTCTTTTCCTCCATTCTTGGTTGTTCTTTTTCCAGTTTGAAACTCTGTGCTAGGGTGTGTGAAACTTTCTCAGTGATGTTTGCAGAGACAATCTCGGTCTTGCACCGTGGATTGCTAAACAGCGAATTACTGTCAATAACAAACAGCAAAAACACTTCCACACAACCACAAAACCACAAACGCACTGAGCTTTACTCGATGATGCGGGGCTTTGCATACAGTTCAGAACGCATTCTAAATGATGTGATGATGTGATCGATATACTGCAACTATGGTAACAGGACACTTCTCTAAAATGTTTTCCTTTAAAAGAAATGACTGAGGACACATGAACAGGACATAAAAACAAATGTCAGCTGCATAAATCAAGAATCTCTTTATAATAAATAATAAATTCCTTTATAAGAAACAAAAGCTGGTTTATTTTGTGAGTTTAAAAAAAATAATTAATTAAAATTTGATATATTTGATGACAAAGGACTTGAAATCCAATTTTAGATATAAAACCGTTCAGAAGTTAGGGTCGGCAATACTTAAACTATTTGAGTATTATTATAGTTATCATAATTGATATTAAATAATAACATATTAATATTATCGTTATTCTTGTTTTCAGCACCACATAATCCTTGATTTGTCGATCAATAAACTTGTGTAATTAAACGAGTTGAAATAAATTATGGATTTTTTTTATTTCAAAACAAAAAAGCATCATAAATCTGAAACATAAATACAAATAATAGCTTTTTCAGTAATCGTCTTCAATTTAAGCCACATTTATTGTGAATCTGCATTCATTTTTGTCATTTTATTGACAGCTCTGGTCTACATTCATTTACATTGCGAGTTCATATTTAGCTTGTTGTTGTGAACAACATAAGTGTTCAGTGTTTAATAATAAAGTTGGTAAATCATTTAGCCTGAATTCTCATTTTATGGCGTATGTTCTTCTCAGGTACCTCTAGAGGGCAGCATTTACTCCTATTTCATTCCAGTAATTCAGTTCATGCAATCTGTGATTTCAATTGCAATTGTTGAATTATTTCTCCAGTTATTCTATTATTTCACACACGGCCATAATAATAATAATAATGATAATAATAATGATAATGATAATAATAATGTGATTAGATTCATGGGGCAACACGATAGCTCAGTGTTTAGCACTGTCGCCTCAAAGCAAGCACATCGCTGGGTCAGTTATTGTTTCTGTGTGGAGTTTGCATGTTCTCCCCGTGTTGGCGTGGGTTTCCTCAGGGTTCTCCGGTTTTTTCCAACAGTCCAAAGACATTCGCTGTAGGTGAACTGAATAAAAACTAAATTGCCCACAGTGTATTTGTGTGAGTGAGTGACTGTAGGTGTTTCCCAGTACTGGGTTGCAACTAAAAGGGCACTCGCTGTGTAAAACATATGCTGGATAATTGGCGCTTCATTCCGCTGTGGCGACCCCTGATTATTAAAGGGACTAAGCTGAAGGAAAATGAATGAATGAATTTTTGGGTTTTATATACTTTACAATATTTTCACTAAATGCATCAAATATTCTGCTGTGTAACCTCACTGAATACACGACTGAAGAGTGACGAGTCCTGTTTACTTCTATTCCACACACAGAACTATTAAACAAAATCAGAAAATCGTTTTCAGATGTTTACTAGCTCATTAAAAGACACTGAATTGGAGAAAGGCATGGAGATTATGTTGGTCTATTAGTTAATGAAGTATACATTGTATAGTATTTTTTAGTCTAAAGCAGGGGTCACCAATTCTGTTTCTGGAGAGCTACCTAGAATTCAGCTCCAACCCTGGTCAAACACACCTAAACCATTTAATCAAGACCTGAAGCAGCACTTGATCATTACAGGCAGGTGTGTTTGGTCAAGGTTGGAGCTAAAATCTGCAAGAAGGCAGATCTCCAGAGCCCGGTTTTTCAAAAGGTTTAATCCGGATAAAATTGATCCTGATTTAGTATTCCTTTTTTTGTGATCCGGGATCACGTAATCCAGCTTACTTTTTGAGCCAGTTTTTCAAAGCAACATCGGATTGGATCAATTTGATCCGGATAGGAACTTTTCAGGATCACTTAATCTGGATAACCAGTGCTCAAACAGGATATGAAATCACACTGTAGAACTAGAGATATGTAAAGAAAAAACAAGTAGAATAGCCAGTGTGGGGTCAATATAAGTTTATTTTTATTTGAAATGAAAACACACACATTAAAAAAATAAAAAATAAGAACAAGAAAAACCCCACCCTATCCTCTTCCATCAGTCCGCTCATCTGAGACCTATAACACAAGCACTGTACATTGAGGATATTTATAGCAAGTTTTAAATATAGATGTATTGAATAAAAAAAAAAGACTTAATGTCAAAACCTCCACAATAATTTCAGACTTCCTCTGATGTGGAGAGACCGGCTTGTCTGAGCGTAGCCTTTAGATGGCGGATCTCAAGTCTGGCCTTGGTTTGCTGCAGTTTGGTTAGAGTCAGTTGTTCCTCTGCCAGATGAAGCTGTGCTTCTGCCCTTTCAGTCTCTTTTTGCAATTGTTGAAAGTGATTTCAAAAATCAGTGATTGACATTCTTTGTATTTTTTTGGTTATTTTGTAATCATTGCATGCATCACTACACTGTAAGAAAAAAAAAATCGTAAATAAAAGGTCAAATGACTGGCAGCTACGGCTGCCAAACAAAAAACATAAAATTACGGTCAAATGTTTTTGTTGAAATAAAGTGCAAAAAATAATAAATCTACAAATATTTTCATTAAAATGTTTACAAAAAAACACTGTTATTTTACAGACTTTTACTATATTATTACAATCAAATCCGTTCAATAAAGTAACACAATAAGAGTTTTACAAAGAAACACTGTTATTGTACAGACTTTTCCTAGATTATTATGATCAAACACCATCAATAAAGTGACTGCACTAAAAGTTCAAGAAAAAACAATGTTATTTAAAAGAATTTACCAAAATAATTACGATTAAACACCTTTAATATAATGCCAAGACATGCTCATGATCGTAATTTAACAGTTTTATTTTGGATCAAAAAATTTAGGAAAAAACAACAAACGAGATACAACTGATTAAAATTCTCACAACTTTAAAATTACAGTTGTTACATTTAATTGAATAGTGTTCATGTAAAACATGTAGAGGTTTAAGTTATATGGAATGATTCAGTTACAGATCTTAAATGAAATGGAACTGTAACGTGAAGGGGACGTTGACAAAGGAGGGCAGATCCAAATGCAGCTTTATTACACAGAAGATGGTCAGGCAAACAACAGTCAACACAGGGGCAAACAGATGTAACATTATGCAGGGAATCCAGAGTCATGGTCAAATAATAGGCAAATGGTCAGTCCCGACAGCAAACAACGTAAACAATTAACAAACAAAGCAAGGCAAAAGAAGAGAAATGCGTCAATGTTTGCAGTAACAGTATAACAAGACTAAGCAATTGGTCTATGCTGCTTTTAAAGTGCATGTAATCAGTTCATAACGATCCTCCGACTGTGTGTGTGCAATCAGCGGAACAGGTGCATGTGAGTGCACTTAGTGTGTAGCTTTATTGAACAAATTTGATTGTAATAATATAGTAAAAGTCTGTAAAATAACAGTGTTTTTTTGTAAACATTTTAATGAAAATATTTGTAGATTTATTATTTTTTGCACTTTATTTCAACAAAAACATTTTACCATAAGTTTATGTTTTTTGTTGGGCAGCCATAGCTGCCAGTCATTTGACCTTTTTTTACGATTTTACATTATTTTTTACAGAGCAAGTAATTACAATTTATTACTTTAATTTGACGTAATTTTAAATGTACTTCATAAAAAACAGGGAAAAACACTGTGCAAATAATACGGCAATTTTATTGTATGAACAGACAAATTGCTGTAATTTGTCATCAATTATATAGTACATAAAATAGCAGTCAAGCTGTTAATTTACAGATATTGTTTGTAATTTTTACGGATTTTTGAATAAAATTTAAAATAACAGAAAAAATACTGTATAAATGATACTGTAATTTCCCTGTATAAAAAACAAAAATGTCAGTAATTTGTCTTTAATGATAAAGTACCTAAAATGAAAGTCAAACTGTGAATTTAGAGAAATTGTTTGTCATTTTACTAAGTTCTACATCTAATTTTAAATGAAAAAAAATTACTGTAAAAAATTTAGGGATATTTTAGGGCTTTTTTACAGTGTAATAAATATTCTGAAAAGAAAAATATTTTCCATTGTGATGATTGTCAGGTGTTTTCTGCAAGATCTGAGGAATGATGCCAGCCGGCTCTTTTTTCTCTTCCTCTCTTTCACCTCCTCGTCTGTTAAAAGAGAAATGATTGTAGTTGACTCACTTTTCCACTGTCATTTGAAAGGAAATTAACATTTACAGTTTTATAACATCCCCTATATTTTACAGCCATAATTTAAAACTAATTTGGCTTTGCTTTAATAAGGACTCTGTAAAATGCAGAATTTGAAGATATTTGAAAAAGTCTTCAGAGCGATTATTAAACTCTGTTCTAAGTTGTTCAAATGATTTCACAATTTCAGAGGTAAACATTCCTGAAAAGTCAGACAAACCTTTCTCACAGCATTTATTAATAACAGGTCTACATTTACTAATGCATTATTAAAACTTGTGCTTGTTAATATTAGTTAATACACTGAATTTTCTGACAGTATATTGAACTTCTCATGACTGTGTATGGAGCACTGAGAATTATACATAAATTTAAATATCTTGATTTGTGTCCAGAAGATTAACAAAGGTCTTAGAGAATTGGAACTACTGTACATGAGGGGGAGTAATTAAAAACAAATATACATTTTTTGGTAAACTAATCCTTTAAGGTCTGTCAATTCAATTCAACTCAATTTGAGTTTGAGTATAATCTGTGGAGACAGCAGAGGGCGCTGTAACATTTGTTTCCCGCGGATCTTACAAACAAACACACGTTTTCCTGCGTCTGGAAATAAGTGTTTCAGATACTTATTTTGTCTTTTCAGCTGAAGTAACACATGTAAGGAGGGTACAATTTTTTATTCTTGTATGATTTCACAGACTTTGCTCTAGGTTTTATTGAATTTGGCCATTTTTATTGTTAACACGAACAAGCTACACCAGGGAACAGTTTGCTCAATGATTCTTTTTTTGTTGCCTCAGCATTAATGAATACAGACAAGCACACATCTTGCTCTTAAATTAATACTTTCTAAGGGATTTTATACAATTATGTATTTGTGGAAATCTGTATTTTGTTTGTTTGTTTGTTTGTTTTCATCAGGCTAGTCAGTTACAAAGCATCTGTTCTAACAAAATCATTTAAGACCATTATAAAATAAGTAAATCCCAATGTACATTTATGAGAAAGCATATATACAACTTTTTGAATCATTACTCTAGTCTTCAGTATCAAATAATCTTTCAGAGGTGCTGATTTGCTGCTTAAGTAACTTTTTTGTATAACTATCAATGTGGAAAAACAGTTGTTTTTTAAACACACCTTTATTAATAATCAAGTACACATTAAAGTCTGGTATAGATATTTATATTGAGGTATTATATTCGCACATTCATTCAGTGGCATCTTGTGTCTAGGCATGGGCCGATACAAGATTCTGACGGTATGATAACCTTGGATAAAAATGTCACGGTTTCACGGTTCCCTGTTTTTGTGATTATTGCTCTAAAATATATTCTTTTCATATGTCCGGGTCTGAAACTTTTTTCCCTTTTGTACACAATAGATTTTATTTTGAGAAACATTTAAAATATTTTGGTGCTGTAAACGTGTCAGTTTAAATAATTTAAATAAATCATTGACTTAAAAACACTGATTTATTTACAATTTTAAAGGGCATCTTTGAATATCTTTCTGCTGGACATACTGTTGTCCTAAAAAATAGTACACATACCTTAGGAAAGGTATTGCAAATTTTGATGGTTTTAAAACCTTGATTTTTTTTTCCAAACCTCAGGTATACCTTGAAAACGGTTATCGTCTGCTTGTGACATGGTATTTTGAAAATTCAGTCTGAATTCACATGTAAGAATGACTTGAAATCAACATTAGCACTGTTTATTTGTCTGTCAACAATGTTGTAAATTGATAGTCATTGGCTGCTAATAAACAGAATTTGCAAAGAATATTTCTGTGAAATTATATTATTAAGGAGAAAGTGTGAATGTGTAAACATAAAAACTTGACCCCAATGATAGTTTTCATGGTAAATAATTCCAAATAAGAGCTGCTTTTTGGCATATATGTATGTAATTGTATTTAATAACTAAATTTATGTCAGCATGATTTATAAATCCTTAAAAAATTCTATCAAAACATACAAATCACTGTTACAGTAATTGTTATAATTTTTTTATTCCCTTTTACAGTGTCATTCTTTTGCCTGGACTGATGGTGACTGATGAACTTCTGAATCATCCAACGCCTTCATTCTTGTGCACTTTTTGAAGGTAACGCTTGCTATATATGTATATATATGTTGTTGTTGTTGATCAATTTGGGGTCACTTCAAGTGTAATAAGAAATACTTAAAGATATGAGCATGGATTTTCTCACTAGATACATTTTAAGGTATTACTTGATGCTTATTTAGTCTTTAAATGCTCAGTTCTAAATAATAATTACTCAGCATCTCTCTTGTACACTGTGTTATTTCTGTATCTTCTGAAATGCGTTCCCACTGATGACGGTAGATTTGAGATGCCCTGCTGGAGCATTCTTTCAGAGATCAAATATAATGGTCTGAAATAAGCGGGAACAGATGGACTCAGATCTGTTTTTGGAAGGTTGATGCAAGGGATTTGTATTGTCTAATCACTCTTGAATTAAAAAAAAGGTTTTCTGTTTTTATAAGAAGCCTGTTTTTCTAAACAAATTGCATAAATCACATTACAAGCAAAGACCTGGACATGCAGTGGAGAATACTAATATACCTCTAATACATTGTACAAAACAAATAATTTATTTGTACTTAAGCACTTTTGAGATTTTGAGTATGCAGTTTACAATTTATGCAAATATTAAATGTTTGTTTCATTGGAAAAAAAAAACATTGAAAATCTTCAGATTGTAAAATGCAAATTGTATTCTGAGAATCAAACAGTAAATTTCAGATTTTTTGAGATTTCCTTCTCATTTTGTCTTGGATTACAGTAAATAGTTTATTTTCTTTATTTATTGATTTATTTTTTTATTTTGCTTTTTCAATCTTGACCATATCAGTAATGTCAAGCTTTTTTTGATATATATATATTATTGTCATCTCAATCAGAGTTATTAGCCCCCCTGAATTATTCGCCCCCTCTTTATTTTTTCCCCAATTTCAGTTTAACTGAGAGAACATTTCGTCAACTCATTTCTAAACATAATAGTTTTAATAAATAATACCTGATATCTTTTATCTTTGCCATGACAGTAAATAATATTTTACTAGATTTTTTTAAGACTTCTACACAGCTTGAAGTGACATTTAAAGGCTTAACTACGTTAATCAAGTTACCATTATTATGGCGATGCAGTGGCACAGTAGGTAGTGCTGTCGCCTCACAGCAAGAAGTTTGCTGGTTCGAACCTCTGCTCAGCTCAGTTGGCGTTTCTGCGTGGAGTTTAAAATATTATGTTTGTGGTGAAAGTGTCAATTGAAAGTTGCTGCTTAATCTGAGGCATTCTGATGTTGTGCTGATTTTATTAGTTCTCTAATGGAATTACCAAATGAGTCAAATTAAACAAACCATACTAGACAGATAGTGTTTTGTGTTCAGCATGTGGCTTGCGGTCAGTAATCGTTACAGAGAAAACAATTTTCAGATTGTTTCCACAACACTTACAGAGGAAAACTACAGCCTATTCTAGACTCAGAGACGGAACTAGAACTACTTAAAGTGTAAACAAACCCAGACATAAATAAAGCAACAAACAAACAAATAGATCAAATGTGTAAATGAGCTTTTTTGTTGCCCCTTCAATAATCTTTTTATAATAGTAGCGCCGCCATCTAGTGGTGAAAAACTGAGACGGTTGTTGCAAAATCTTGAGGTAAAAATGTGTTCAGACAGTTGAAGTCAGAATTATTCGCCCCCCTGTTTAGTTTTTCCTCAATTACTGTTTAACGGAGAGATTTTTTTTCAACACATTTCTAAGCATAATAGTTTTAATAACTCATCTCTAATAACTGATTTATTTTATCTTTGCCATGATGACAGTAAATAACATTTGACTTGATATTTTTAAGACACTTCTATACGGCTTAAAGTGACATTTAAAGGCTTAACTAGGTTAATTAGGTTAACTAGGCAGATTAGGTAATGAGGCAAGCTATTGTATATCGATGGTTTGTTGTGTAGATTATCTAAACAATAAAGCTTAAAGGGGCTAATAATTTGGTCCTTAAAATTGTTTTTAAAAAAATTAAAAACTGCTTTTATTCCAGCCGAAATAAAACAAATAAGACTTTCTCCAGAAGAAGAAATATTATCAGACATACTGTGAAAATATTGACACAGTGGCGCTTTAGGCAGTGCTGTCGCCTCACAGTAAGAAGGTCACTGGTTCGAGCCTCAGCTGGGTCAGTTGGCGTTTCTGTGTGGAGTTTGCATGTCCTCCCTGCATTCGCGTGGGTTTCCTCCGGGTGCTCCAGTTTCCCCCACAGTCCAAAGACATGCGGTACAGGTGAATCGGGTAGGCTAAATTGTATTTAGTGTATGAGTGTGAATGAGTGTATATGGATGTTTCCCAAAGATGGGTTGCAGCTGGAAGAACATCCGCTGTGTAAAAACATGCTGGATAATTTGGCGGTTCATTCCGCTGTGGCGACCCCGGATCAATAAAGGGACTAAGCCGAAAAAGAAAATGAATGAATGATTTATTCTCTACAACACCAGACACACAAGAGTTCATTTTTAAACAGATAAACAAAACAGACAGGGACACATTTTTAATGCATTTCTTTATTGTTTTTCTCCCTCTTCCATCATCCCCTCATCCTCCTCCTTTTATTTCTCCTCCTCATCATTCTTCTGCTCATCCTGCTGCTTATTTTCTGCTTTCGATTTCTCTTCTTCACCTTCTCCTCCTCCTCCTCCTCCTCCTCCTCCTCCTTTATCTCCTCTTTCATGTCCATCATCTCCATGTCCTCCTCCTCATTCTTCTTCATCTCCTCTTTCCTCCTGCTCCTTCTCTCCTTCTTCTCCTCTTTCTTCCTAATCTTTCTCCTTTTCCTTTCCTTCTTCTTCCCCTCCTTCTTAATCGTGCCGCCCTCCTCCTCCTTCTCCATCATCATCTCCTCCATCTTCTCCTCTTTTATCATTCTCCCTTTCCTTCCATCCTCCTCCTCAATCTTGCCCTCCTCCTTCTTGTCCATCATTGTCTCCTCCGTTTTCTCCTGCTCTTTCTTCCTTCTCCTTCTCCTCTTCTTCTCCTTCATCTCCTCTTTAATCTTGCCCTCCTCCTCCTCTTGTTCTCCACAGGATGAAGTAGTTTTCTTCATTAATATTTCTCCTTGGCTGACATTTATCTCATCTTCCACACAAGGCTCTCTGTGTATCATGGGAGTCACTATGATTTGATGATGCTCAATCGTTGAGTTGCGCAGAAAGTCATCTGTTAAAAGAGAAATGAAGTGGTTACACATTTTACAAAGTGATTTTCAACAAGATGTTAAAGTTTACAATTTATTAATAGCAGTATAGACTGATATGTTGATGTAAACATGTTCATTTACCATCAGCGTCTTTGGGTGGAGAGATTGGGAGATCTATTTGCTCTTCCTCCTCCTCTTCATTCTCCAGCTCGATTTCTTTATTAGGGGTGAGGCAGGAGATTGTCAGGTGTTTCCTGCAAGATCTGAGGAATGATGCCAGCCGGCTCTTTTTTCTCTTCCTCTCTTTCACCTCCTCGTCTGTTAAAAGAGAAATGATTGTAGTTGACTCACTTTTCCACAGTCATTTGACAGGAAATTAACATTTACAGTTTTTATAACATCCCTTATTACATATAAATTAAAATATCCTAATTTGTGTCCAGAAGATTAGCAAAGGTCTTAGAGGATTGGAACTACTGTACATGAGGGGGAGTAATTAATAACAAATATACATTTTTTGGTAAATTAATCCTTTAAGGTCTGTCAATTATGGGTCTAACAAGAGCCTAGACAGCCCAAAAACTGGACAGAAGGGGGCTTAAATAATCTGAAATCAGGAAAACCCCTGAATAATCAAATTACAGTGTGAATATGACTCACCATGGCCATTTTCAGGCATTTGTTCAAGCTGTGCTGTGTTTTTGCCAGCTTTGAGGAAAGAGGGTATCTTGAAAAATCTCCTTTTCCTCTTTTCCTCCATTCTTGGTTGTTCTTTTTCCAGTTTGAAACTCTGTGCTAGGGTGTGTGAAACTTTCTCAGTGATGTTTGCAGAGACAATCTCGGTCTTGCACCGTGGATTGCTAAACAGCGAATTACTGTCAATGACAAACCGCAAAAACACTTCCACACAACCACAAAACCACAAACGCACTGAGCTTTACTCGATGATGCGGGGCTTTGCATACAGTTCAGAACGCATTCTAAATGATGTGATGATGTGATCGATATACTGCAACTATGGTAACAGGACACTTCTCTAAAATGTTTTCCTTTAAAAGAAATGACTGAGGACACATGAACAGGACATAAAAACAAATGTCAGCTGCATAAATCAAGAATCTCTTATTAATAAATAATAAATTCCTTTATAAGAAACAAAAGCTGGTTTATTTGTGAGTTTAAAAAAATAATTAATTAAAATTTAATATATTTGGTGACAAAGGACTTGAAATAAAGGTTTTGTGAAACCCAAATCCAATTTTAAATATAAAACCGTTCAGAAGTTAGGGTCGGCAATACTTAAACTATTTGAGTATTATTATAGTTATCATAATTGATATTAAATAATAACATATTAATATTATCGTTATTCTTGTTTTCAGCACCACATAATCCTTGATTTGTCGATCAATAAACTTGTGTAATTAAACAAGTTGAAATAAATTATAGATTTTTTATTGATTTCAAACCAAAAAAGCATCATAAATCTGAAACATAAATACAAATAATAGCTTTTTCAGTAATCGTCTTCAATTTAAGCCACATTTATTGTGAATCTGCATTCATTTTTGTCATTTTATTGACAGCTCTGGTCTACATTCATTTTTATGAGTTCATATTTAGCTTGTTGTTGTGAACAACATAAGTGTTCAGTGTTTAATAATAAAGTTGGTAAATCATTTAGCCTAAATTCTCATTTTATGGCGTATGTTCTTCTCAGGTACCTCTAGAGGGCAGCATTTACTCGTATTTCATTCCAGTAATTCAGTTCATGCAATCTGTGATTTCAATTGCAATTGTTGAATTATTTCTCCAGTTATTCTATTATTTCACACACGGCCATAATAATAATAATAATGATAATGATAATAATAATGTGATTAGATTCAGGGGCAACACGATAGCTCAGTGGTTAGCACTGTCGCCTCCAAGCAAGCACATCGCTGGGTCAGTTATTGTTTCTGTGTGGAGTTTGCATGTTCTCCCTGTGTTGGTGTGGGTTTCCTCTGGGTGCTCTGTTTTTTTCCAACAAGCGTGGATTTCATGCTCAAAATGTAATGAAAATTTTTAAAATCTATCAAAAAATACTATACTTGGATCATGCAGTATCTTACAAGATATCCTATTTATTTATAAGGTTTTAATTTTATTTGTTCATCCATCAGGCTATAGTAATTAGGTAGGCTTCATCATAAACAGCCTTTCAGTACAGGCCTACAGCAAATTAACAAGAGTTTGGCCTCATAAAATAATCTCCCAAACAGCTGTCAAAATTGACCAAAAACAATACATTTTATTCTGTCACTAGTTGATATATATATATATATATATATATATATATATATATATATATATATATATATATATATATATATATATATATATATATATATATATATATATATATACAATGGTAAATATTTTTCTTTTCAGAATGTTTATTAGTGATGCATGCAACGATTACAGAATAACCCAAAAAATACAAAGAATGGCAATCACTGATTTTTGAAATCACTTTCAACAATTGCAAAACGAGACTGAAAGGGCAGAAGCACAGCTTCATCTGACAGAGGAACAACTGACTCTAACCAAACTGCAGCAAACCAAGGCCAGACTTGAGATCCGCCTTCTAAAGGCTACGCTCAGACAAGCCGGTCTCTCCACATCAGATGAGGAAGACTGAAATTATTGTGGAGGTTTTGACATTGTCTTTTTTTTTCTTCAATACATCTGTATTTAAAACTTGTTATAAATATCCTCAATGTACAGTGCTTGTGTTATAGGTCTCAGATGAGCGGACTGCTAGAACAGGATAGGGTGGGGTTTTTATTTTATTTTATTTTTATTTTTTTTAAATGTTTGTTTTTTCATTTCAAATAAAAATAAAGTTATATTGACCCCACACTGGCTATTCTACTTGTCACTCTTTACATATCTCTAGTTCTACAGTGTGATCTTGTTTGAGCACTGGTTATCCAGATTTAGGGATCTTGAAAAGTTCCTATCCAGATCAAATTGATCCAACCCGATGTTGCTTTGAAAAACTGGCTCAAAAAGTAAGCTGGATTACGTGATCACGGATTGCAAAAACAAGATTACTAATTTCGGATCAATTATATCTGAATTAAACGTTTTGAAAAAAACGGGCCCTGATGGGATCAGTTTAATCCAGATTTTTTTGGATCAAAGTGATCTAAATCCTCCTAAAAAGGTTTGAAAAACCCAAACTTAAGGTTTGATCTGGATCAAAACCAAGATTGGATTATGTGATCTAATCCAATTATGTAATCTGTTTTTTCTTTTGAAAAACCCATTTTCAAGATTTGACCCAATTTGTTATCCAAAATCCTAGTGGATTACTTTTGTAAAACCGGGCCTACAAGGTTGCTGACCCCTTATATATAGACTTAAATTCAATTTATTTATTTATTTTTAACTGTTTTTACAGTGTATGTTATTTTAAAAAACATTTAATAATTTTGTATATTGTGAGGTTTATTTCTAGTTACCCAACTCAAACATTCCATGTATTCTGAAATGTTTACGTTTTGAGTCAGGGTTTGAGTTTGAGTATAATCTGTGGAGACAGCAGAGGGCGCTGTAGCATTTGTTTCCCACGGATCTTACAAACAAACACACGGTTTTCATCCCATTGATTCTTTTTGTTTGTTTGTTTGTTTTCATTAGATTAGGCTAGTCAGTTACAAAGCAACTATTCTAAAAAAATCATTTAAGACCATTATATAAAATAAGTATATATAACACTTTTGGAATCATTACTCTAGTCTTCAGTATCAAATAGTCTTTCAGCAGTGCTGATTTGCTGCTTAAGTAACTTTTTGTATAACTATCAATGTGGAAAAACAGTTGTTTTTTAAACACACCTTTATTAATAATCAAGTACACATTAAAGTCTGGTATAGATATTTATATTGAGGTATTATATTCGCACATTCATTCAGTGGCATCTTGTGTCTAGGCATGGGCCGATACAAGATTCTGACGGTATGATAACCTTGGATAAAAATGTCACGGTTTCACGGTTCCGTGTTTTTGTGATTATTGCTCTAAAATATATTCTTTTCAAATGTCCGGGTCTGAAACTTTTCCCCTTTTGTACACAATAGATTTTATTTTGAGAAACATTAAAAATATTTTGGAGCAGTAAACGTGTCGGGCTAAATATTTAAATGAATCATTGACTTCTGCTCTCTTCAATTGCTTTAAAAACACTGATTTATTTACAATTTTAAAGGACATCTTTGAATATCTTTCTGCTGGACATACTGTTGTCCTAAAAAATAGTAAACATACCTTAGGAAAGGTAGTGCAGAAAATTTGAATGATTTTAAAACCTTGATTTTTCCAAACTGCAGGCATACCTTGAAAACAGAAGTTTTCGTCTCATGCCTACCTGTGACATGCTCCCTATATTGTTACCATGGTATTTTGAAAATTCGGTCAGAATTCACATGTAAGAATGACTTGAAATCAACATTAGCACTGTTTATTTGTCTGTCAACAATGTTGTAAATTGATAGTCATTGGCTGCTAATAAACAGAATTTGCAAAGAATATTTCTGTGAAATTATATTATTAAGGAGAAAGTGTGAATGTGTAAACATAAAAACTTGACCCCAATGATAGTTTTCATGGTAAATAATTCCAAATACGAGCTGCTTTTTGGCATATATGTATGTAATTGTGTTTAATAATTTGATTTTATGTCATTATTTTTTAAAGAAATTATAAATCATGCTATCAAAACATACAAATCACTGTTACAGTAAAAGTATTTTTTTATTCCCTTTTACAGTGTCATTCTTTTGCCTGGACTGATGGTGACTGATGAACTTCTGAATCATCCAACGCCTTCATTCTTGTGCACTTTTTGAAGGTAACGCTGGCTATATATGTATATATATGTTGTTGTTGTTGATCAATTTGGGGTCACTTTAAGTGGTATAGAAATACCTAGAGATATGAGCATGCATTTTCTCGCTAGGTGCATTTTAAGGTATTACTTGATGCTTATTTAGTCTTTTAATGCTCAGTTCTAAATAATAATTACTCAGCATCTCTCTTGTACACTGTGTTATTTCTGTATCTTCTGAAATGCGTTCCCACTGATGACGGTAGATCATTGAGATGCCCTGCTGGAGCATTCTTTCAGAGATCAAATATAATGGTCTGAAATAAGCGGGAACAGATGGACTCAGATCTATTTTTGGAAGGTGATGCAAGGGAATCTGACGAGTGCTTCGAAGTTTGCGTTGCAATCTTGGTTGCTTTCCAGTAATTTTTAGAGTCTGAGTTAAGTATTGATGTTTGTTGTGGTATTGTCTAATCACTCTTGAATTAAAAAAAAAAAAAAAGGTTTTCTGTTTTTAGAAGAAGCCTGTTTTTCTAAACAAAGTGCATAATTCATATTAAAAGCAAAGACCTGGGGCCTCATGTATCAACGCTGCGTACGCACAAAAACTTTGCGTACGCCAGGTTTTACGCTCAGAATCGCTCACGTTTGGATTTACTAACAATGAACTGAACGTGGGAATGTGCGCAGCTTCACGGCAGCTTTCTGGCTGGCGTACGCACATTTTTTGTGCGTGTCTGTTTTATTTCCATTGGCGACTCCTAGAGGCAGTTGTGTTAAATTCTTCTCTACAAAGTGTCTGATCCTTGCAATGGCGTCTGTATGAGACGGGTTCATATAGTAGGTATGTAAGATTTCCATACCATACAGTTGACCAGCTAAACATTAAAGCACAATTTGCAGCAGTCGCCTGTTTTCCCAATGTAATCTGAGCAATCTACTGCACGCACATTGCTATAAAGACACTATTTGAAGATAAATTTGCATGCGTGAATCAGAAACATTTCCATTCAATAAATGTGCAAATAAAATATGATGCACAAACGTATTGATGATTCCTACTTGTCTTTCTCGTGATAAATAGTGGGCAAAATCTGATATGTAGCGGGAAAAAAAGAAGAAAGAATTCATCAGACGCTGGTTTCAAGCCGAGTTTATACTCGAATGTGTCTGTACATAATCACATGTTTCTTATGAGGTGCGCCACTGAGACTGCTAAAGGTACTGCAACATTTTACAGATATAAACCACACTATTTCTTTTTTTAATGCACTCAGTGCGATGTTCAGACCCAACTGTGTTAACTGCATCAGCTAAACTCTCCCACTCTATTTTTTTCTTTTGTTGTTAATTCCGGAGAACAAACTTGCAAATAACACCGCGAAAGCAGCACCTCCAATTCACATTCTGTTCAAAGTTTCTCTTTTTGCTTGCTTTTTCCATTGCTTTTTCGTTGGGTTTTGCCATTAGCATAGTCATTAGCATATTCATACGGGGGAGGAGGCAGGGAGGGGTTTTGTGCTCGTGCATGTTGCGCTCAGTTTCACGTTCATTCAGATGTACAAAAGAATATGCGTGAGATTCGGCGTACGCAGTGTTTCATACATCTGAATTTTTTTCTGCGTACGCACATTTACAGCTTTGTGCGTACGCAATGTTTTAGTAAGATTTCCACGCAAGTCTTCGTACATGAGGCCCCTGAATTTTTTTCTGCGTACGCACATTTACAGCTTTGTGCGTACGCAATGCTTTAGTAAGATTTCCACGCAAGTCTTCGTACATGAGGCCCCTGGACATGCAGTGGAGAATACTAATATACCTCTAATACATTATACAAAACAAATAATTTATTTGTACTTAAGCACTTTTGAGATTTTGAGTATGCAGTTTACAAATTCTGCATATATTAAATGTTTGCAAAAAAAAAAAACTGACTTGTTTGCTTCTGTGTAGTGTAAATTTTGTCTTCATTTATTTTATTATTATTATTAGTAGTAGTAGTAGTAATTTTTCTGCTTTTTGATTTTTAAAACTTTTTTTAATATATATAGTTTGTCTATTTATTTTTAATTATTTTCAGATTATTACTATATATTTTTTATAATCTTTTTTTTGCCTTATCTCAACATATCAGTAATGTCAAACTTGTTTGATTAGATATGATCTATAATTTGTCGAGTGTCTTGACTGTATGTTTCCAGTAGGTGGAGCTGTTTACTCACTCTCATTCTGACCATGGTAAGAGTACCTCCTAAAAACATACATTAGTATATCAGCTTTTCTAAACTATTTAATTGTAAGGCGGATGTGTAGATTATGCAAGACATTTTTTTTTGTTCTTAGTAGCTTTTGTCTGTGTGTATTAGTCACATTGCAGGAAGAACTAAAAGCTATAAAGATGAAATGCATGTTATGGGACTGCTTCATAATCTGCTCTAAAAACCAATGTTATTTGCGTAAACGCAACGGTTCAAGCCTGTCATGAACATGTGCTGCACCACGGCTCTGACAGAGAGCGTCTCGTTTGAAAGAATCCTCGCCAGATGTCTGACCCGTATTCTCTCAAACCCCTGCTGCCAAATGCTCTTAGTTAACAATGAAAATGACCTAAATTAGTGGAATACAACATCTTAAAGTGACAGATCCACCCCTAAAATTACCAATCTGTCTTCATTTACTAGCACTCATGTTGTTGCATATACTCAGATGCTCCAACAGGAACTTAAAAGCTGTTTAATTCAAATGTGTGTGATAAGCTGTGCAATTTGCTTGAGGAACATATTTAAAAAAAAGTTTATTTTTTCCACTTTCCTTTTTCCAGAGCTCACATTTACATCTGGCTGTTTAGAAGACGCTGTTATCTATAGACACTTTTAGATGGAGGCAAAAGATTTAACATTTGAGATTCAACAGTACTTTCAGCAGTAAATTAGGTTCCAGGAGATAAAAAAGACCAAAAAATGTCATTTGTAAATAATGGCAAGGCAAGTTTATTTATGTGGCACATTGGTAATTCAAAGTGCTTTACATAAACACGAATAAAAGATAAGAAAATAAAAACAACAAAGAATTAAAATGTTTAAAATTAAATAAAAATGTGTTAAACAGGTTTTAAAAGAATAAAAAAGAAAAGAAAGACAGAATAGTGCGACCTGTGGGATGTAGCACAGTGCTCATTCAGTAAAGGCACAGCTAAGCAGATGTGTTTTCAGTCATGATTTGAATGTGCTTAATGTTGGAGCACATCTGGTCATTTCTGGAAGCTGATTCCAGCAGTGGGGGGTGCAGTAGCTGAAAGCGGATTCACCCTGCTTTGACTGAACTCTTGGAATTTCTAATTTACTTGGTCGTAATGATCTGAGTGATCTGCTATAGGTTTGTATTCAGTGAGCATATCTGTAATCTATTGAGGTTCTAGGCCATTTAATGATTTATAGAAAAGTAATAATACTTTTAAATCTATTCTGAATGTAACTGAGAGCCAGTGTAAGACCTGAGGACTGATGTGACAGGTATCGTTTTTGACTGATACAAATTTTAATATACAATTGTATTCCAGTGTATCCCAATTCCAATATTTGTGAGTTTTTTTTTTGTTATTGTCATTAATCTAAATGTATTTTTATGATTTAATTGAGCAATTACACATGCGGTGCAATGATCATTATTGTCTATTTCTAATATTATTGTCTGACATTTTTATATTTTTTATTTTCCTTTTCGATCTTGAACATCTTTAATGTCAAACTTTTTTCATTATATAGTGGATGATTTGTCTTATTTATTAATTATTTCATTTGGTCTTAGAAAGTGTGTAACTGTTCTAATGTTAGATTTCGTTGCAGACACTGTTCAGCTAAGAGGCTCCTTTCATAACTAGGCCTGTCACAAAAATCAATCAAAAAAATCAATCAATCAATCGACTTATCGTGCAATACTTGGGGATGACCTCAATATTTTTTGCCATTTCAATATACATTTGCAAATTCACAAATAATGTTTACAATGACATTTACATTCTACATCACTGGTGTCTGTTTATAATTGGACATTTACCTAATAGAACATTTAATAGTGTATATAATAGGACATTTACCTTTTTAACATCAAATTATAGGATCTAAATAACCTGAAGAATGATAAGTATTTTAAAGTGTTTAGGGCTATTTCCATTATTATGATGTTATTTAATCATTATTTAATCAGTGGCATAAAATAATCTCAAAATGACAATATTATCGACAATATTATTGCAAAAATTTCTGTGACAATTGATCACACAACTAAAAATTTTATTTGTGGCAAGCCTTAATTTATTTATGAAGAAACCTTTAGTTAGCTATATCTGCTTTTTTTGATGGTGTATTTAATATTTTGATGATTGTAAAAAAGTAGTTTGATAAATACTGGCAGCTGATGCTTTTCAGATTTTCAGGATTAATCATTGCTTTAGCACTAAGGGTGTGCAATATTGACCCAAAAGACTGTATTTTTAGCTGGAAGTGCCAAGTATCTGTCTTAATTGGTGGTTTACTTAGTCATTCGATCAAATTATTTGCTCACAAATGCTGATTAATGTGGAAACGAAGTCACTTATCATTGACTTATTGACTCATCTGTCATCATTGACATGTTTTGTTCAGAATCAGATAAATCAATACATTCTAAAGTCTGTCGTGTTGAGACACATAAATGTTTAACACATGCTCAATGGAAATATGTGCTTCAGTCTACATTTTACGCTCCTCGCACCCCACCGATCTGCATATTTTGCATGTCTCTCTTATTTACCCCAGCTGATTAAGATAACCAGCTCGTTAGAGCTCCGTGCATGACGTGTTCTGACTGACATGTCCCTACGCAGTGTGCGTTCTTCCCTAGTCCCTTTTCTTTCTTTGTTCTGTACCATAGCATAATATACCTCCGTAAATAAACACAATATAAACTCGCACATCACACACTTAAATTCCATTTTAATGAAACATTTGTGCTCCCTTCAAACTTAAATCATGGTGGAA